CTACTGTGAAAAGCTGTTCCTATCATGTTTATTAGTAATAACTGGTCGCATAACTTTTCTCATACAATTTGGAATGAACGAGCACTCGTCAAATTTCTTTAGCACTCGCTTAACTGGTGAAACAAACGATTTTCAACACGATTTCCTGCACTCACGCCTGAGCTTTCGTTCTTACAGTCAAACTAAGGGAAGCGTACCCCTTAAGATTACATTAATCATTTGGAAATCATTTGGATCATTTGGAAATTGAACCCGCCAGTCGTTTCAAGAATGCAAATGAATTGATTATTTGATTATTGAACCCGCTAGCCGTTTCACGAATGCAATAATGTATTGATTATTTGAATATTGAACCTGATAGCCGTATCCGTTTTGAAAAGGCGCGGATCATTGTTCAAATTAGAAGTCCATTTCTGAAGTCCAATAAGATTGTTCTATTTGACGAGGAATCCTGAAAATGAACAAACTGCACTGTAAAAACACTGCGAAAACAGTCGATCGCAAATATTAACGAAATAGAAAAAGTCTTGTGATGGCTTCGCCCGTAAACTATTTTTTCGACCATGAATACACAAGAATTTCTACAAGCTCGACAAGATGTAAATAGGCGGAAAAAGCTCTCGATAACATTCCATTTACAACATTTACAAGAAGTTCTACTCAACACTCGAACTCACCTTTCCCGCCATGTCTGACGCCATGTTGAAATAGTTCCGATCCATCATCACGTGTTCGCATAATCCAATCAGAAATGGACTTCTGATTTGGACAATGATCCGCGCCTTTTCAAAACGAATACGGCTATCGGGTTCCATATTCAAATAATCAATCCATTAATGCATTCTTGAAACGGTTAGCGGGTTCCATGTTCAAATGTTCAATTCGTTATTGCGCTCCTGAAACGATTAGTGGGTTCAATATTCAAATAATCAAATCATCAAAGTAATCCTGAGGGGTACGCTTCACTTAGTTTGACTGTAAGAGGACGTACATGCACTAATCTTTTGGGATCTGACCAGTTTCTCAAATAGTTCCTGTTCATACTCTTTTCGTTCTGTTAAGTGCTTTTTGAAATAGAGCAATCAATAGGCATCTCACGACCTAACGGTTATTTCTATCCTCCTTCATCTTTTTCTTATTATCAATATTATTATTCATTATTATCCTTGTTGTTAATTATGAATTTTTTTGCGGCCCAACGATAACCAAGGCCAAGTTTTTGTTATATACTCTCCCTTTTTTTTCTGGAAAAAGTACGTTTTCACAGGACCTCATTCTGTGAAGTATCGATTTTTCCGGCTTACAGGTAAAATCCGATTCAGTCCTGACAACTTTCAATTGGTAATTCAACGAACTAAACGAGAGCGAATGAAAATACTTTGACTAAACTCCAATCTTTTCAGTAAGGTTGTTATTAGCACAGTTAGCAATAATCCTTCGTTGAAGTATGATTTATATTTTATTAGTTACTCAGGATCGCGGTTAATCTGGTTTCGATTTTTTCGGTGTAACAATAAACGGATTGACTCGAAATTGAGTTTCTTAAAAGGCACGGGGGTGTCATCTTGGGCCTAAACTGATTTGTCGCAAGTGATCCTTGTTCCACAAGTGATAGTTATTTCAGTTGATTTTTCTTTATCTCTTTGAATCAGTTTAATTCTTCTTTTATTTTAGTGTTTAGTTCTTTATCTGGTACTTAGAGGAAGGTAAGTTGAATTGGTAAAGTGAAACACTGGTTAAGGCCTCATTCAAACGAGGCCATGTATCATTGCGAGTCAGGAAACTGGTTGTAAATAGACATTTGCGGAATGAAATAATGTAGATTCAATCATAATGGGGATCTAGGGGATTTGATCAATTTTCAAAGGAATGTAGATTGTGAAAAGCAATTCAATTTTGGGGTCTTGAAAGGTTGACAAAAAGGAACAAAAAAAGGTCAGATATATTTACGTTCACACAGCAACCAGGTGGATAATCAGACATGCTTTAATGCTGCTCTGGTTTAGATATTTAATGAATGTAACCGAAATTACAATTCATTGACTCAACGGGTCGATGAACTGTAATTTCGGTTAAATCTTTAAACCAGAGTAGCATAAAAAAAATGTCAGTTTAATACAAACATCACTTCAACAAGCTTCCATAAGCAAGTGAAGAGAAGACAAAGAATTTTATTAAGAGGGATTTCATTCTTTGAGTTGATCATAATTCAAAATTTTAAGTCTTGCAAAATTATTTGCTGTTGGTTTTGAAGGACCAAACTTGTTGCAAAATATGGAGTTTGTAGATAGAGCATGGTATCATATTTGTGTGACGCAAGAAGCCTTTTATCATAATTACTCTTGCCTTTCTTTATCGAATATTTTGAACAGGATTAGATGTTGGTTTAGTATGATTTCGGACATTATTTCCTTTTTCATCAGGAAACGCGAGAATTATTTCCTACTTTATGAAGTAAAACTAACGTCAATTAGACTCAGTAATAATGTATTAAGCAAATTTGCTTGATAATACTTTCTATATTTTTTGGTTGATATATGTTGTTTGTCTTAAGGACTGACTCTTAAAAGTGCCTTGTTTTTTATTCTCTCTCTCACTTCCTTGCAATATTAAAAAGGATTCGTGAACAGTGTGGAATAAACTCTAATTTAAGCCTATTGATTCATTTGCACTCATTTCAATTTGAATAAAAAACGAACTCTCTAATTTCAATCAAGGCAGCTGCACATTAACTCGACTCTCTGCCTTCACTTTTCGATATTTTCAGAGAAAGTAACGGTGTATCCAAGAGACAAAACTTAATCAATCATTCTTTTCTAATAAATAAACGATGTTTCGCTAACGCGACTCGGTGAAATCATGGTGGGAAGTAAGCCTGAACGCAAAGCCAATCGTCATCAGCTGTAACTGATGTACGCACTAGCCAAAAAGGCGTCAAATAAGAGGCACTTTACAAACATTTTCAGAAAGGTGTGGCGCCGATTCTTTCTCTAAAATTTTTACGCATCAAGATCATAGCTTTTCATGGGTCACGTATAATAATTATATAATTTCTACAAAACTACGTTCGGTCTGATTCAGGCACAAATACTTCGCATAAGAGACAAATGATGACATACTATATGAGAGCGAATGAAAATACTTCACCGTGTTCCATTCTTGTAGATTCCAGGATAATTTTATACTAAAAAATAGATAAAAAAAAGTAAAATAGAGATATTTGATATAACGCTGAGTTGAAAATCGTTGCTTTGTAATGAGCAGAGGCGATATCCTAAATTAGAGACTGTCCATTGATTAATGTAGTGAAAGCGGATTGGGAATGATCAACAATTGTACTGACTTTTGTGCCAAAATGTTCTCAGCTTTCAGTTGTGAACTACTTTACACTCTTGCGATCGAAAACATTTTTGAGAAATTCAATAAAAATTCTCTTGTGGCAAAGCGTTGTGTCTAGGGAATTCTTCCAGTTTAAAGTAACTATTACTATATTCTGCTGTAATAGAAAAGAGTTATATCTATTTTATTTGTGTGGAATATTTACCGTAAACACTTGGCTCTGAAATGAAAGTAATTTCCTAAGTGCTTTATAAACAAAAAGTTGCATATTGTTTCTTCAGAGACCGTTCGTCTTTCGACCCACAGCAATATTGCTATGACGTAGATAGGTCCTGTGGTTAATAAGGTTGTCGATTCGTGGAAGTGGAAAGGAAAGGAAAACTAATTAGTTAATCCTCTGCAGTCTGTTCAACTAAAGGCACACAACCGCGCAGCAGGCGCTCACTAGCCCTGCGTGCCGTGGGGCATATAAATTTCATTAATTCGAAAAATAAATACTTCCACCGAAAATTGCTCTGCATGCTTTAAAAGACATTATCATTTATATTCCGCCTTTCAATTTTCGAATGGAGTTTTTATCCTTGCTCTACCACCGACAAGAAAAGTTCATTTCATGCACTGAGAGGGTTATATTCATTTTTTGAATAAACAGCAAGAAATCATCGTTGGGGTTAACAAGCTAACTGTAAACGTGATTAAGCCCAGCAATTTTCACTAAATTAATTTCTTTACCTCTAAGGTAAAAATTTCAATCTCAATACCAAATCTGAAATTAAAGTAAGCTTTGTCTGCATTATTTGAATGGCAACCCATAAGGCACATAAAAGGTTCTGCCAAGAATGAATTGGGTAAAAATACATTTTCTCGACAGCTAAGTAAAAAGTGCACGATAAACATTCTCGAACCAGCAGTCAAAATGAAAATCTTTTCCCCTGTTTGTCTGATTTCAAACGATAAGAAGGGCATAATTGGAAATCCTCGACTCAAACAGAGCTCTAGTTGGATGAATTTTTTTTACGAAGACTATATCTGCATTTTACTTTATAAAGTAATCGGAGTTAAAAACTATTTTTCTGTGCGAAAATATTTGAAAAATAGTTTTTTTGCACATTATCATCTCAGCAATCGTAATTTGGTTAAAAATATAATATTTCAGTTTTAGGGTCATTTTCGTAACAAAGGCTAATCAAACGGTTTGAAACAGCCAATCGCAGGAAAGAAAAGGCAGTTGCTTTATTGGAACTCTGCTATTTCATGCGGATTCTGTCCACTGATAAAGCCTTTGTTCCACTATGAAAATCAAGCACCAACACTTTAATTCCCCTCTTAACATCAGATGGACCGATTCTGTGGTTAATTTCCTAAAATTTATAAGTCACGTAACAGGAACACTCTATCTTTGAAGTGTTATTGAAAATAGTCATTGTCAACTCACATTTGCATTTAAAAACGAGAAATGTTAGATTCCTTTCATGTAGGAGGTATCCAACTTAAATATGATTACATTTTATGTATAATTTTTTTCAGAATTGAAGTCTTTTACCGATAGAGGTAAACTAGTGTCAACTAAACACCTTGTATATTATCACCAGCTGTGTTACTAATCATTAGTTTAGAATCCGCAGACTTATTTCTGCATATCCTCATTTGCACTCTTTCGTCTCGACTCGGCAGATGAAGTTTGAATTCTGGTTGATGAAGACTACGTGATCTTTTTGAATACTTCTGTTGCTGCACTCGAAGTAAGATCGCCTTTTCATATTTTTTTGATAACTATTATGCAGTTATGATGAGTGAAGTTCAGTTTAATTCCCTCTTAACGTTTTGTATAGTTGATTAGGAAATGTTGATCACTCATCCTGGCGACCATACTTTTATATTCCCTTTGTGATGTGCGATAACTTTCTCGAACAGTTAATTCCTCGAAAGCGACTAAAATTTCTCCAAGAAACTCTTTGAAATGTATGAAACTCAACTCTAATGAGTACAGAGGACATATCCTCTATAAAGAGCACGTCTAAAACGACTGACTTTGTAGAGATGCGACACCTTACTTAGCAGTCATCCTGTTTTAAGCGGTCGCTTGTCAAAGTTCCGATTTTGTTTCCCCTTCATCACTGTTACTTTCACCATTATTAAGCGGTCACCTCTAGAAAGGGGTCACGATCACCCTTAACTGAGTCTCAACGGCCCGTTCTCATTGTCTTTTACTTGTGTTGAACTACTCAAATAGAATTAAGTATAATATTTCAAGTAATTTTTTATCAATCTTTTTTGTCCAAAATCAAATTATATGGTATTTTTGAGAGATCTGTACATTAAGTGGTCTATTATGGCATAAATTGGTGTTGTGTATTGTTTTGTTTAAACCCCATATCGGTGAAATTTGTCTTAAGCGGTCACCCTGCATTAAGCGGTTAGCCAAGGAATTGCAGTTGGTACTCAGATAAGGGTGACCGCGACCGCTAAAGGTGAAAGGGGAGATAAATGCAGAACTTTGACAAGCGACCAGCTAATACAGCTATTTTATGATCGCACAAAACACGCTACAATCAGCCAATCAGAGTCCATTTTAGAATGGTTTAAATAATCTTGGTTGAAAAAGGCTAAAGCTGTCGAAAATGTTAAACCATCAAAATTCACAAATCATCAAAGCTCGCAAGGTCGAATTTAACACTTGCCTGGAGTTCTTTTAGTCTCAATGTTCATTGAATAATTCAGCGAAATCCGGCCGAATTGTGGCTTATATAAAACGCGCAAGTTTTTTCACTTGAAAATCAGAAAAGAAACTGCTCAGAACGTATGTTTTATGAATGAAAAACAGCTGGATAATCACAGGAACACGAGGATTGCAGTGACTGATGTGGCCTTCCACTAAACGCACCGTTCACATTTAACAATTATGCCAGTTTGGTTATATTTTTCATAATTCCTGCTTTAATCTGTTTTGTCTTTTAACACAAACTATGTATACTATACGAGTGTTTGCTGTGTTTGAGTTTTATTAGCGTACTTAAGCTTACAATCGAACTGAGCATGAAAACTTTTAAAACTCGGACAGTCCATTTCGTTTTGTCTTTGAGAATTTTTTTCTGCTTTGTTTGGTTCTTTTATTGCTACTTTCCGGTTCGTTTGATGGGAAATTTCGCTTTCAATTAACGAAAAAAAAAAGCTACAGAGACGTATCGGAAATAGTCGACAATAAAAATTGGCAGATAACATGACAGCTTTGGCTCAGCTCCGTGTTTTGTAGCGTGATAGAGCACGCTCTTTAAACCAGTGACAGCGCGCGTTATATTCGAACTACATTATAAATATTAATATTATCATAGTGACGTTACTCAGAGCACAATAATCTGTTCACAAGACATGTTTAACACTAAAACTAAAACAAAACTAAGCAAAGAAACAAACCAACAAAACATTTTGATTTCACTTCTCAATTTCTCAGTGCATTTTAAAAAATTTTATGAGTTTGGAATATCTGGATTTATCTCGTTGATTTTGCAAGAGTATATGTATTTTTTCTTGGAAAATAAGATGAGAAGATTGATGTGGTTGCAAAGGTGGCCTTATTTCGTATAAAGGGATGTTAATCTTGAAATTGAAAAAGACATCTGTGCCGGATCTTATACACAAGTTGTCTCCGTTTCTTGTGGAGTGAGTTTCTATACTGTTTCCTTTTTTGTCAAAATTTGTTCTTGCTGATTTAGAAATTAATATAGTATCAACAGAAATAGCTATAACAAACGACCAAAATTACACCTTAAAGGCTGAGGGCAATTTTTGTTTATTTATTTCAGTTACTCTCTGAAGATTCTTGGAAAAAACACTAATAGAGCAAACATGAATAACAGTTCAGTGGGAAGCTTACCTGAGCGTCCAAACCATGGCGTGGTGTCCCTTAGCAGGTTACTTCCTATCGCTTTGATCATCGTTCTCACCAACGGACTCGTATTTTTCCTGTTTTTAAGAAAAGAGTCTCTCCGAACTACCTCCAATTACCTCCTCCTTGGCTTAGCGATATCTGACTTCATCACAGGCGCGATAAACATTCCCTACTTCATTGTGTTTACCTTCAATGTTGTACCATTGACCATGGTAGGAAATTTCAACTTTTGGATGTTCGCCCTGCACACCCTGATGGCGGTCTCAGCTGGGTTTCACATACTAGCCATAACTGCAGATAAATACTTTGCTGTTAAAAAACCACTGAGACGCCAGCTGATAAGGAAGAGGATGATGTTTGGAATTCTTGTGGCCATTTGGGTCACATCAGCTGTTATTGCTGTGGTTCCCATTGTTTGGATCAAAAGCCAGTCACAACTTCTTTACTTTATAATTCATGCTGCAGTTTGCCTCATAATAGTGTTTCTTGTGCCATACACATTTATCATTTATGCGTTCATTGTTATATTCAAAGTTATTTCCAACCGCAAAATACCTAAGAAGCAGATTAACATTGCCTTTTCGAGATTTCAAGCCAAAAAGAACAACGAGCGAAAGTGCGTCATAATTTTTGCTATCATGGCTACGATGTTTGCATTTTGCTGGTTACCATATTTCGCCCTCATGCTAATAGCAAACATCAAGTCTTATCTGATGTCGAGTTTGCCGGCCACCATATTGAAAGCATTCGAGGTGTTTGTAGTTGTTAGGTACACGACGTCAGTCACTAATCCTCTGCTCTACACGTTCTTTAAACGCGACTTTTGGGTTGCGTTTAAAATCCTCTTTGGCAAAAGGCAATTTAACTTACCCTCCCGAAGTAGATCGTGCAGCCTTTCTCTTCGGTGCAATTCTAAGGATATGACCCAGGCCACTCTCTTCGGTAGCAACCCGATATTGCTTGTTTCTTGGAATCAGCTGAATGGAATTCTTCCCGAAATAGATGCATTGCATGGGGCGTCAGAAAGGAATATATCTGCGCTTTAAGGTTTTAAACAATAGAGAAAGGATACTAGTTATAAATTTAAGTACATATGCTTAACTATTATTCCAGGAGTGTACGTTGCAATTGGATGAGAGATGGTAAATAGCAAATCAGTTCCTTAGCGCCTAGTTGGTTATAGCCAATCTGGTATCCAATGAGAGCATATGGAAGCACTGTTTCATCAAACTCTCAAATTCCTCAATAATGCGGGGGAGCTCGCTAAATTTCTTTAAACTCTCGATTTTTGTTTCAAGTCAAAACTATCGGAGGTCAACCTACTTCCAACTGCCAAAACGGCAAAACTTGAGTGATATGACATTGCCGGCCTTCGTATAACGAGGGAATGGCTATGAGGCAACAAAAAATCTGCGTGTGTTACAACGCAAGTTGGAGCATCAATCATTCATCATTTCCTAGGGTGGACTCTCCAGTGGCTTCGCAATACATAGCGTTTAAAAGACAAGGGAGTGATGTGCAAACTTGACCAGTTATGTTATTGTTTGAGACTAACATACCAATGAAAGGGCACTCACGTGTTCTATTCTTAGTTTTCATCTGACTTCATCAAAATTAAAACATAAGGAATCATCAATCCCTTTGAGATTTTAGTTTAGTTAGTTATTAGAGTAGCTGGAGACATCTTCTGCCAAATTTCCAGTTTGATGGGATTTTTCGTCTTGTGACAAAGTCAGGTTCTAAGTTTTTGCGCGACACGAAAATGCGGCCGAGAATGCTTTCGCGTATAAAAAGAGTGACTTATCCGCTGAGATTTCGCAATCTGAACAGTCCTTGCTGATTACAAGTACTCGTATCGATGTTGTCAGAACATCATCATTTGTGCTCTATGACGGGTACTAAGTTTTCAAAAAGGAAAAAATTACCTTTATTTTGCTAAAGCGGTAAGCTTTTGTAGTGCTAAACAGAGGCCTTCTTAGAATTGTAGCTATTAGACGAGGTATTTCTAGATAATTACATTGATTTGGCTTAAATGTTTCATTTTCATTCACCGAATACAAAATAAAGGCTTTATGTCAAGACTTTGGTCTGTTTATAGCATGAATTATGCTCAAAATTCCATTCTGCTTGGCCTTAGGGGGGCATGGAGAGTTTAAGCAAAAAGCTTAACAAACCTTAACAAGCCAATTTTTTCTCAACTGATTTTGATAAATGGGTCACTAAAGTACATACTGGATTTGGTATGAAAGTTATGCAAGAAGGCAGGTGAATGTTATGGTTTTTTGAAAAATGGCAATTTTGGGTAGTGATTTTGACCTCAAATTTGACCTAACTTTAGCCCCAGGCCCCTCTCTGTCTAATTGCTTAAAAACAAAGTTACATTTATGAAGTAAAAGCTCCACTATAGTAGAGTCCATGGTCAAATTCATTTGGCAGCACAATTTACCAATGGAATTTTATAGCACTTTCAAAATGCCACCTAGAAGGATGAATTTTTGGTGCTCCATAGGCCACAAATAGGACCCCCCCTCCCCCTGAAACTCCAGAACAAACAGTCAGAGAAGTGAGCCAAAGTGGCTTTTGAAATATCTTATCACACTCAACTTTTGTGCCAAGTTTCAGCCAAATCGGTTGACTACCACTTTTGGCTCCTGGAACACTTTCTCAGACAGGAACACTTAAGACATAATGGGTGTTTATAGAAGAAAAACGTCATTGCTACATCTAATATCATTGATAGAAACAATGACTTATTCTCATTATTCTCCTCGTGCGAATAAGCTCTTTCAGAAGACTTGTCTAATACTTCTGGCCTCGGCCTCGTTGAAGCCGGCGTTTTAGCTTAATTTCCTTGCCGCTATCAGCTTCAGAACGCTTGGCTACGTCAACTTTTGTAGCTTCTTTTTCTTAAGAAACCTTGGACTTTGATAGTTTCCTAATGTATGCTTCTGAAAAAGGTAGCTAAGGCATATCTTTCAGGCATTCCTGCTTGCCACTTGACCAGTGTCCCCCACAGATGCAAGCTTTCTTACACATTATCCGGTTGAGAAAGATGTTTTTCGTCTTGTCATGAGCATGGGATAGAGAAAAATTCTGTGTCCTCATGAGGAATCGAGCCTCAGACCTTCGGATTCCGCGCTATGATACTCTACCACTGAGCCACGGAGACTCTATGGTGAGTAATGACCACTACAAAGTTCATTTACAATACTACGCGTCCTGCATACTGCTAGCATCGGCAATTATGGTCAGCGGTTGGAGAACAAGATAGACGCTACATTTTGAGTTCTTGCTCTTTCGACCTTTTAGACGCTTTTATCATTTCATTTTGTACTTTTCTACCTCTGAGACTTCTACTTAAAATGCCTAAAGCGACAATTGCTTCTCTCGAGCAAGAAAACCAGTTTCTTAAACAGCAAGTTGATGACTTGTGCAAAGAAGTTAAGTCCCTGAAAGAAACCTTTGCCGCCTCCGAGGCTGCTAATGAAAACAGAATCACCGCTGCTACAAGTGCCTCAAACGTCGAAACCTCTAAAAGTTTACAATACTTGACTGACGAGTATGATGACCTATCAGCTTCTAACTCTGATGTCTTGGCTTAGCTTAAGCAAATATCCCATCGCTTTAATGTACTCAGTGCCCAGGTGGAACGTGTCGGTAACGCCATTAATGCAGCCGAGGAATACAGTTACCAGTTCAACGTAAAAATAATTGGGTTACCGGAGCTAAATACAAGAGACCGCCCCCGAAACAAGTTCTCTCTTCGTAAATCTCTTTCAAGAAATGGGAGCTGAGGTATCCTTTCTCGACATCGATATAGCGCATCGTGTAACAACTAGGAACGAAACCGAAGGCCCGAAACCTGTGGTATGTAAATTTGTCAGGCGTTTAGCGTAAAGGAAGGTTATGGAAGTTCGTCAACGTGCCTCCCAAGTTAATCCCACAAGCATTGGTTTGTCTGCTGAAAACGAGCTTGGCGATGTTAGAGTCTTAGATCATCTCACCCCGATGAAACAGAACTAGCCTGACGATCAGGCTCTCTAGGGGAGGGGAGGGGAGAAGGAAAAGGAGAGCCTGACACAAAGCCATATCGGAAGCCGTTCATCCGTTCAGATTTTGAACGGACTTCTCATTGGCCAATATAACAATAGATGATTTACCGGAGGTAAAAATGTTTTTCTGCATGATCAGACCGCCATCTTGAGATTTCACACTCAGCCAACTTTTTCGTTTATGAGACCTGATTTTGCCTTGATGTGAATTGTAATGACCTCTGCAGTTAAAGAAGAAGACTTTGAAGTAGCCTTTCAAACTGCATTGCAGTTTTTTCCGGGTATCATTCCGAAGAAAGAGCAGATCGAGTGTATCAAAACTTTAGTTGTCGATCGGCGAGA